TTAATTTTACCATTCGAAAAAAGTTTATATCTTAGTGCTTGTAATTTTGATTAAGAAGTTATGAATGTCTTAGCTCATATGATTATTATTGATGACTTATATTTTAAGTTTGTTGAAAGAAAAAAATTCTACTATTTTATTTTTAAGGCTTGTCCTAAATTTAATATTCAATCTAAATGAACAATTTCACGTGATTGCTTTAAGTTGTATAAGGATGAAAATAAATAAAAATTGTTGATGATATTGTTTAATTCTAAAAATTAAAGAGTGTGTCTTATTGATGATACATGCACTTCTACTAAAAAATTAAATTATATGTGTTTAATATCTCACTATATTGGTAATGGTTGGAAATTGGTAAAAAATATTATCAATTTTTGTCCAATTTTTAATCATATGGGTAGATACATTACTTGAAATGTTGAGAAATATTTACATAATTGTTGTGTTGAAAAAGTGTTCAATAACGTTATTGTTGATAATGCTTTATCGAATGATGTTGCCCTAATTTTTTCTAAAGAAATTATCAATCAATAGGGTGAAAATATTAAAAATTATAATTATATGCACATGAGATGCATTGTTCATATATTCAATTTGGTGGTGCAAGATGGTTGAAATAGATTGAATATTTTGTGAAAAAAATTAGAAATGTTATTCAATTTGTTACTTACTCGAGATCTAGATTGAACAAGTTAAAATAATATTATGAGTTAGAAAATATGTCAATTAATAGTTTATTGTGGTTATATGTTCCTATCAATGGAACTCATCGTAGTTGATGTTAGAAGCAATATTTGCATTTGAAAAAATTTTCTTTTCTAGGTTTGATGTGTTAAATTCAATGTATATAATTGATTTTGAATCTAATGACATTATACTTAGTAAGGATAATAGAATGAAGACAAAAAAAAAAAATGATGAATTTTTCGAGGATTTTATATGAGATGATTTGTAGAATTTTTAGGTCTTTATATGTTACCTCTAATTTGTTTTTTAATGAAATTTATAAAATACAGATCTTAGGAAAGACTTTTAATAAGGTTACGATAGTGAATTAAGTAAAATATCAAACAAAATGAAAGAAAAGTTTAGCATATGTTTGGGAGATCTAAACACTACAAAAAAATATCAATTTTGTAACAAGATTTTTTCGTTCTTAAATCCACTTTTTCCATTACTAATGATATTATAGACGGAATTAGGGACGGAATTACGTTAGCTATGTGAACTTTAGGAACGGAATTCCGTTACAAATATACTATTTTTTGTAGTGAAATAAGATGTCGAGTAACATTGAAATATTTGAAGATAAATCTGAAAGTACTCGTGCACCATAGATTATTTGTTGAGAATAGTACACATGATAGCGATTGAGGTTGTGAAATTTTTCAACCTATTCAATCCCAATAACAAAAGAGAAAAACTATGCAAAAAAAATCATATATTTGGAATTATAATTTACATTTTATAGATAAAAATACGAAAGAGAAAGTTAAGTGTGTGTATTGTGAAAGAACATTTTATAGATAATATAACGAAGACAAAAAAAAATGATTTTTTTGAAGATTTTCTATGAGGTAACTTGTAGAATTTTTGAATCTTCATATGCTACCTCTAATTTGTTTCTTAATGTGATTTATAAAATACATATGTTATTAAAGATTTTTATAGAAGGTTACGAGAATGAATTAAGTAAAATAACCAACAACATGAAAGAAAAATTTAATAAATATTGGTGAGATCTAAATAATATGAATAAGATAATATTCATGATGGTTATTGTTGATATTTGATATGAGTTGAAGTGTGTGACACTTACTTAACATAAATAATATGAATAAGATAATATTCATGATGGTTATTGTTGAAATTTGATATGAGTTGAAGTGTGTGACACTTACATTGTTAAGTGTATATCATGAGTTAGCTAATTCAATTGTAAAAAAAGTTAAAAAAGAATTGTATGCTAAGCAAACAATTTTTATAAAAAAAACATCATAAGCAAACAATTTTTATAAAAAAAAAAAAATGATGAGAATGAAGAAAAATAGTTGTCAAATATTAAACTTAATAATAGTGATGCATTAAAGAATATGTTGAGAAATGTAGAATATATATATATATATATGAAATTGTTTATAAGAAAGAGAATGATAATGACCTATTTAAAGAAGATCCTAATAATTAAGGACCCAAATTTAATATTTTAGATTGCTAGAAAAATAATAAATATAAAAATATTTCATATTTTTTCAATTTGTCCGAGATATCCGTCTGGGGTGGATCTACGTTCTGTTCAGTGGTGGCACGTGCCACCAATAATTTTATTCTGATAAAAGAAATTTTATATAATTTATTAATTGTGCTACTAATAAAAAATTGCAGTGACTTCACTAAAAATTTAAAATGCATTGTTATCCAAAATTTAAAATAAATTATTTAAAATTTAAAATATCATAAGTATCAAAATAATTAAAATTTAATTCAATTAAACTGATTAATTATAAAAAATAAATATAAAATAAATATTATTGTATTTTATATTATCAATAATTTTTTATTAATATTAGTATTATTATTTTATATTATTATAAAAATATAAAATATACAATTAATTTAATTATATATATTATTTATATAAAAATTGTGTCCTAAATCAAACAACCTAAACTCATTTACATTCACAGTCGTTTATGGGTGCACAACAGCCGCTACTGCATCTTCTTTCTTCTTCAGTTCAATCCAGTATTTTTGAAGATTTTCTTCTTCAGTTCAATCCAATATTTTGAAGTTCTACATGTTGTTAGATGAGATTATTGATTTATTATATTTTCTTCTTTTCATTTCGATTCTAATTCATAATTTATTTGTTCTTTCCCGATTTTGATTTAAATCTGTGCATTAATTTATTTTCTATGATGTTACTTTTTATTTTAAATTTTTTTATTGAAAGATTTTAGTTATTTATGGTAAAATTAGAATAAAATTTAAAATATATTATGAATTTTGATAATTTTTTTTTTTTTACATCTATAAAATTAAAATTAGATTTTATACTCTTAAGGAGAAATTTTTAAAAGAAAAGTATATTGTGATGGTTTAATTGGAAGTAATTTCAACAATCTTTCTCAATTTAAATGTTCTCTATTAACACTATCAAAGATAATTGAATTGAAAGATCTTCCGTGGGATCCGGTTGATAGGCCAAGAATTTTGGAATATGACCCCAATCAAAGAGATGAAATAAGACGATTGTATTTGCAAAGAGGGTCTTTTTCAACCATATGAGCATATGTTTCCAACAAAACAATTGGAAGTAAGGTACGACGTTTTGTCCCAAAATGATTTGATGAATTTTGTTAGTTGGAGTATAGTGTGAAATCGGACAAAGCTTTCTATTTATATTGTTATTTGTTTAGAGATTATGTTGGAAACCAACGTGGGAGTGAACAGTTGTAGAAGATAAATTGTTCGTATATATATATTTAAAATATAATTAAAATTTTTAATATAATTTATTTTAAAGTTTATATATTGTGCCACCGGTGAATAATTTTTCTAGATCCGTTTCTGACTGTAGCATCGGAGTCGGCATTTAGTACGGAAGGACAAGTACTGGATCAATTTTTTAAATTGTAAAAGTTGTGGAGTATTTCATTTGTGATTAAGATTGACTTTCCAAATTTGCTTATTTTAGTGGTAGAAAATTTTTCAAGATGTCAAAAAAATATACTTTAATTTTTACAATTTTTGCATTGTTTTAAATTTATTTTTTTGAATTAATTATTTTATTTTGTGTATATAAATAATAAATTAATTTATTTTTATGTACGTATGACATATATATTCCTTCCATCTTCAACAATGCCCCAAATGTAAGGATGGACGACAATTTTATTTTGTGTATATAAATAATAAATTAATTTATTTAGTTTGTTTGTGCATTAGCACATTTCTTTGTACTTAATTTATTTGTTGAAATATATTCTGGTTTATTTGCATTGGGTGATTTATTTGTCTCATATTTAATATATTATGATTTTTTTTATTTTATTTTTTATTTTTTTTATATTTGGTTTGGTTCAAATTTTATTTAATTCGATTCTATTCAGATTATCTTTCTAAAAATTTTGAATTTTTAAATCGATTCAAATTAATAAAATTCGAATAGAAAATCAGAATAATCACCCCTAAAATTATGAATAATTTTGTTTATATTTTAATTTAAAAATCCTCACATTTGTTGAAATATATTATAAGAAAATTAATAGTTTATTTTTTATATCTATTTTATATACAAGTGAAAAAACAAGTGATAATGATTATAGATATTCTAGCAATAAACCATCTTAAATTTTTATTACACGTCACATAGTCGGTATGCAAATTTTAGACCACATTTTTAGAAGTTATGACTATTTATTAATATTGAAATTCAATAAATATTATGAATATTTATTTTTATTTAAAATGTTACATTAATTTTTTATACTTATTAATACTCAACAATTTAAAATAAAATATTATTTTTTATATTTATATTTTTTTTAAAAAAAAAAACATCTTAAACTAATTCATTAAACAAACAAATCCTCTATTCCTATCTAATAATTAATTTATAAACCATAACGAATATTATGCGCATCTTAGAAATAAATATTTTCATTTCCATAATCTATGTGATCTAATTACTTTCCACATCTGGAATTAATTAATTTAATCACAAGATTATTATAATAGAAAAAAATAAATAAAAATAAAATAAAAATATTTATTTTGGTACTTTTAATGGGGGGAGAAGAAGTCTGACGTTATACGTTTTTTCAATTGAACAAAAGTGCGTCCAAGTTCTCTTCATGTAAGAACCCTGTAGGCCCCACCGACCCCCCACCACGCTACCCTTCCCAACTCCCAGCAGCACCGGGACCACAGCGCCGGCTCCATCCTAACCGTCCATATAAATCGACGGTGGAATTTCAGAATTGTAACAGCGCCGAGATTTGGCCAAATTTGTCGTCTCGCTCTAGATTTTCTGTGTTTTGTTTCTCCCCTTCTCCTTCTCTCTCCCTACGAGGAGAGTCGAAGTTGCAGTCTGAAGTAATTTCGGTTTTTAATTTTGAGCATATTGTTGGGGGAGAAGGGAAAGTGAAGAAGTCGTGATGTGTAATCTTCTCCGGAGGCTACGTACAGATGCAAATGCGTTTACGGAAGCTACAGCTTGATTTTTGTTGGGTTTTTTCGGCAGTGGAATGCAATAGGTTCGGCGCTTATTTATTTCTGACGGTTTGGCTTCCAGAACAGAAGAAGAATTAGGAATTTTAATCTCCTCTATTGATTTAATCAGTAAGTTCAGATTCTCGAATGTAGATTTATCTATAGGTTTCGGTTATGTCGAACAGAATTTAGGTTTTGCGATGAGTGAAAGCCTATGCATGAAATGCAGGTATAAGATCTGAAGAACAGCGGTTCTGCATTTTTTATTGGTAAATCCTTGGCTACCTTTTGAATCTTCTGGAGTTTTATTCCGTTTTTTTTCTAATCCCACTCGACTTGGCTTTGATTTTTGGGTCAATGAATTTCTATTATTTTAACTTTCTTCTGTTTTTCTTAAAATATTTTTAAATATTTGTCTTAGCCGTCTTCTTCAAGCTATCTATTTGGGAATTTCTTTGCTGGATTCGATTATTTGTTGCTGTAAACTGCAGAAGTTCGTAGTCTTCTTGGCGGTGCTGTATATAATCTCATAAATATATTTATATATATTTGGCTAGATTTGGGATCGGATCTCTGTTGAGCATGCTATATAATATCTGTTCTTAGGTTTGATTTTGGATTGCATTTTTAGTCGAATTCTGTGCAGAATTATATATATATATATGTATGTATGTATGTATGTATTTATTTAGGTATATTTTGATGGTGTTCGATTTTTCATATTGCAAATTGAGGATGAATTTGCCTAACTTTGCAGGTTTTGATTTGATCGAAGGTTATCGAAATTATTGCAGCCAATTCTTTCATAAATTTGTGGTAGGGAGTGGTCAATTTTCAGTGTCCTTGTAGAGTTGCATTGGGAAGCTAAACAAGATAAAAAGAGGGGGGGTGTCAATTAGGGCAAATGGATTGAGGAATTTCTTCATTTTGGATACAATGTCGAAGAACTTGGCATATGTCTTGCTGTTTTTATCATTCTTTCTATCGGTAGCTGCGGAAGACGATGATGTTTTCCGGTGTAATTGCGATGAGGTTGGGTTCTGGAGCATTGAGGGCATTCTGGAGTGCCAAAAAGTTAGCGATTTCTTGATTGCAGTAGCGTACTTCTCGATCCCGATCGAGCTGCTTTACTTCGTCACCTGTTCGAGCTTTCCGTTCAAGTGGGTGCTTTTTCAGTTCATCGCGTTCATCGTGCTGTGCGGGCTGACTCATCTGCTCAACGGATGGACTTACGGGCCTCACTCGTTTCAGCTAATGCTAGCCCTCACGGTCGCGAAATTCCTTACGGCGTTAGTCTCGTTTGCGACGGCTATAACGCTCGTGACGCTCATTCCGTTGCTGCTTAAGATCAAGGTGCGGGAGTTTATGCTTCAGAAAAAGACGTGGGATCTTGATCGGGAGGTTGGAATTATAAAGAAACAGAAAGAGGCTGGTTTGCACGTTCGTATGCTGACACAAGAGATCCGAAAATCCCTCGATCGCCACACAATTCTGTACACTACTCTCGTCGAGCTTTCGAAGACGCTGGATTTAAAGAATTGTGCTGTTTGGATGCCTAATCAAGGCCGGACGGAAATGCACCTTACTCATGAGCTCGATGAGAAGAAATTCTCGAACATTTATCGCCCTCCGATCCCGACAAGCGACCCGGAGGTGAGAATGATTAAGGGAAGCGATCGAGTGAAATTACTCGATCCCGAGGGACCCCTCGCCTTCGAAAGCAGTGGAGGAGTTGGCGAGCCGGGATCTGTAGCTGCGATCAGGATGCCGATGCTTAGGGTATCGAATTTCAAAGGAGGGACGCCGGAAATGGTTCCGGCCTGTTACGCGATTCTTGTTTTGGTCCTTCCGGAAGGGCAAAGTCGGTTTTGGAGCAAACAAGAACTCGATATTGTAGAAGTCGTCGCTGATCAAGTTGCCGTAGCACTTTCACATGCTTCGGTGCTCGAAGAATCTCAATTAATGAGAGAGAAGCTTGCGGATCAAAACCGAGCGCTGGAACAAGCCAAACAGAATGCGCTAATGGCGAGTCAAGCACGGAATGCGTTTCAGATAGTGATGAGCGACGGTTTGCGAAGGCCTATGCACTCGATTCTCGGTCTGCTTTCCGTTTTGCAGGATGAAAAGTTGGGTAAGGAGCAGAAGCTTCTAGTCGACACCATGATTATGACCGGCAATGTTCTTTCGACCTCGATAACCGATGTAATGGATACTTCGACGAAGGATAACGGAAAATTTCCTTTGGAGATGAGGTCTTTTACATTACATTCGACGATTAAACAAGTCGCTTGCCTCTCAAAGTGCCTCAGTTCTTACAAGGGTTTTGGTTTCGTGATTGATGTCGATAAATTCTTGCCGAATCAAGTTATTGGCGACGAAAGAAGAGTGTTTCAGGTCATATTGCACATGATCGGTCATATCTTGAATGCAAGCAAAGGAAGCGGGGTTCTTAACTTACGAGTCTATTCAGCGAACGGTGGAAGTCAGGGATCGAACGAGCAAAGATGGAATCGTTGGGGGCCGAATTCTTCTGACGGATATGCATGGATCAAGCTCGTTGCTGGTATTTTCCATTCTCGATCTCTTCCAGACAATGCGCTTCCTGTAATTCCGTCTGTCGAGCAAACATACATTGCTGGAATTGAAGAAAACCTGAGCTTTGATGCATTCAAGAAACTAGTTCAGGTATGCCTATGTATTCTCATGCAGTTTTTACTATGGTTAGTAATGTTTACGTGTTTAAATTGGATTTCTTTCGTTTATGCTGCAATTTTGTCATTCGGTGTTCAAATATTCTTGCGCCGTATTGGATTGTCTTTTCCGATAATAGCTTGGTGTTGTCGCATTTCTTATCTATTTGATTGCTTATCCTATGGTTCGTTAAGTTCGTTTTCTGTTGGGAACTTGTCTTTTTCCTAAGAATAACTTGTCGATGTCTTTTCGGCGCGAGTCAATAATTTCTAAATTTGAAAAATCAATGTGGTTAGCAATTGCGTGTTGCGGCTTTCTTTTTCACTTGCGGCGTATTGTAGCTGAAATATTGTCGGTTGTAATTAATTCGCAGTTGATGCAAGGGGATGTTCGTGTGATCCCGAATCAAGAAGGGTGCGACCAAAGCATGTCTCTTGTATTACGGCTTCAAACCCGAGCATCTTTTCCGGCGGGAGTATCAGATTACGGCGAATCGTCCGATCACGTGTCCAACTCTCTTCTAAGAGGCCTGAACATTCTTTTAGCCGACGCCGACGACGTGAATCGAGCTGTAACGCGGAAACTGCTTGAAAAACTGGGTTGCATCGTTACTGCTGTTTCGTCCGGTTACGAATGCCTTAGTGCTCTCGGTCCCGCCGTATCTTCGTTCCAATTCGTGCTTCTGGATCTCCACTTGCCGGGTTTAGATGGGTTCGAAGTTACGATGCGAATCCGCAAGTTCCGAAGCCGTAGCTGGCCGCTTATTGTTGCCCTGAGCTCGAGCGACGATGGAGACACGAGGGACAAATGCGTGCAAATCGGAATGAACGGCGTAATTCAAAAGCCGGGTTCGTCTCAGGAGATCGCCTACGAACTTAAGCGTGCGCTGCTTCACGCAAACCGACTTCTCCCCTGAATTGCGTAGCTCGCCTCGTTCCCGATTATAAATACGGCAAAAAGGTCAAGTTCGATCGCCCGTGTTGTTATGACGTAGGGCGAATCAAAACTTGGGACTTTGTTGAGCGAAAGCCGATGATGATGTTAATCGAGAATGATAGTGAAAAATGGTATAGAAATTCCAGCTTCTCTCGGGTTTTGTTGATCGATCTTCGGAGCAATTCTTGTTCTTACATTACGCCGATTGGGTTTTTGCGTTGTTCTTAGCTCTAACTGACCTAAGTCTCCCTCCGGGAGTCGGATTACTTGGTTTGTGTTTGTCTGTGCAGGCGAGTTTGATCGTTTTAGTACTAAAATGGCGAAAGGTTTCATTTTTCTTGCGCGCCGGGGATTGAAGGTGAAGGTTAAATTTATTTGCATTCGATGCTCGTTGACTGATAAAAGATCTATTCTGAAACAGGTCACAGCCGAGACCGAGACGAGCGATGGTACCGTCCCCGGACCGGCCCGGAATGTTTGAGGTATGTATCGTAAATTTAGAGCTGTTAATGAGCGAGCCGAACCAAATTTTAAGTGTTCGTTAACGTTTGCGAGCAAGATTTGTGTTTGTTCGTTAAGCTTTCGAGTTCGTTCGTAGTGTTCGAGCTCGGCTCGTTAAAAATTTTGGTTGTTTGAGCTCGTATTCGTGTCTGGCTCGGTTAAGCTCGTTCGAGCTCGTTTGTCTCACTTTTTTTTAATTTATATATAAATTAAAAAGAAAAATTTAAAATTATTTTATTTGTATATTTTAAATTAATATTTTATTTTATTTATAAATTATAATTTTATACGTATAAATAATATTTATAATAAATATGTTATTTAAACGAACATTCGCAAACAAAGTTCGGGCTCGTTCGTTAACCAAACGAGTCTGTTTATGTTGTTCAGCTCGGCTCGTTAATGTTCGTGAACGAGCTTTATTCGAACCGAACCGTTCCGAGTTCACGAACGGCTCGGTTCGTTTAACGGTTCTAATTGTAACCATAATCTAATCTTATTTATTGCGAACTTTAAAAAGGTTGTCCTTGTCCTCCTATTGTCTGAACTGGTTCAATGCTTCTTCTTCCATTATTGTTTCTCACACTAGATGTTTGCCTAGTGTGCCCATGTCGATAACTAATAATAGTCTACACAACATATGTCATTATTGATCTCAATACATCACATATTAGTAGACATACAATTTAGGTTAATATAACATAATAAATTATATGAATGGATATATATGACAATATTCCAAACAATATATATCACAATTGATCTTGTTACATATTAAGGGTGTGTTTGTCTAGAAAATTGGATTTTAAATGCACTATTCATATAATTTTCTCCCTCCCCTAAAATATTAAATCAAACACTTATTTTTTATTTTTTATACTATACTAAAAATCAATTTAATATTCAAAATATCACATCAATATATATTTATATCACAGTATACGACTATTCAAATTCAAAAGTTTACTGTTAAGATCTCAGCTCAAAATTCAAACTTTCAAACAATAGAATTATAACACAATATATAATATATAATTACATTGTACTGATTGAAGTTAGTCAGTATGATGTTGATTTGTCGATTTGTCCTGATCAAGACTGTAATTGGCCAAAATATATAATATATGATGAGAGCAAAGCATGTGGTTTTTGTGGATCAAAATTCTTGTTGAGGAAGCATAATGTGTGTAGGCACTATATAATGAATTTCTTCCTTATTTGAACTTCAAACTTGGGGCCCCCTTTGTTTTTTTTTTTTTTTTTTTGTTTATTTATCACATTATCTATCTTCACCCCACCCCCACCCCCACCCACCCCACCCCCATTCCTCTATGGATTTATAAACAATAACAAATAATGGGGGATGGATATGGTATGATATGATATGATGGTGTATTTGTTTGTTCTAATGAACTTTTATTTAATTGCATTATTCAATATAATAATAATAATGTGTTTTATAATGGTTGTTTGTTTGTATGGGCATTGGATTTGGATGCATCTTTCCACATACATATGTTTCTTGGACAGATATTTGGAGGGTTTTAGATTTTATTTTATTTTATTTTTAATGAATCCCACATGGTATTGGGATGAATGAACCTGAATCCCAGTTGGTGTATTGGTTACAGAATAATGTGGTGCCTAATTTAATTTTTTGAGTGTATTAATAATTAAAAATTATGGAATGGGAAGATCTTGATCTGCATGGAATAATAGAGGTGGGTGGGGGTACATGATTTTTGTCATTTTAATAGCCACAATTGTACCAAAGGTGTGCCAAATGGGATTATCAAGAATTTACATATAATATATATATATATATATATTTCTTTGAGTTGACAGAATTTTTAGGGTTTGGAGTTTTGCTTTTCAATAATAAAATTTAATTTGAAAAATATTGTGTACCAAATTTTGGGGGCTTGATGTATGAGCGGCTATTTTTTTTATAATATTAATTTATATTAATCAATAAACAAATTTATTTTTTATTTATATTATATAAAATTTTATATTTTTCATATATTGTATTGAAATATAATGTTAAGAATATTTAAATATATATTATATTTTATATATATATTAAATTTATTTCTAAATTATAAATATTCTTAATTACTTTAAAAATAATAAAATATTATTATTATTATTATTATTATTATTATTATTATTATTATTAACTAATTAAGCATTATTATTATAAATATTTTATCACTAATAAAATACGTCAATTCACCGGAGACAGAATTATATAGAAGAGGAAGTTATCTAAGTCAATATTATTTGTTTTAAAATATATATATATATATCAATTATATATTTAATTTTTTTTTTATATTATATCAAAATATTACATATCATTTAATCATAAACATCAAATAATTATTTAATTCAAAAGTTTGATATTCTCACTTAAATCAACTTTCAAACACAATCAAACAAACTCAGGAGGTTTTATTGGATTTCTTGCAAAGAAACTAAGGGTGTGTTTGTTTGAGGGTTTGGATTTTGAGTTGGGATTTGAATAATAAAAATTTTGAATTTGAATAGTTGTATGATGTGATATAAATAGGTATTGATGTGACGTTTGAATGTAAAATTGATTTTTAGTAGGTGGAGGGGAGAGGAAATGGGATGAATAGTGGATTCAATCCCCCAAACAAATTTGGAAGACTTTTCTTAATTTTCACTATTCATTAAATTTTTTTTAAAATACCAAATCAAATATTACCTTTCTTCCCGCTTTAAGGATCTTATTTACTTTTTACATGTTGATATTTTAATATTAATTATTATATCAAAACGTAGCACAAATTAAAAAAAAAAATTGCAAAAATACTTTCATTAATACTAACATAATGACATTTGTACAAAAAATTATACAAATATAAGGATATTTTTAATGTTAAGTACAACGACGCAAAAAGTAAATGTGATCTTTAGAGGCGGACGGATGGAGTATTTATTTATTTTTTTTTATATTATACTAAAAATCAAATTTATATTTAAAATATTAAATCAACACTCATTTATTCATATCATATAACTATTCAATTTAAATTTTGTACTATTTAAATCTTAACTCGAAATTAAAACCTCAAACAAACACAACTTCCAATATTATTTTAACGAAATCAGCAACATATGATTTATCGTTTTTCACATGTCCATTCACGAGAAGATCCATCAATCATTCAAAATGAAAACAATTTACCATCGACATTTTCGTCAAATAAGTTAATATACTCCTATTTTAGTTTATCCCATAATAAAGTATTTATTTCCTTTTTTTTTTTTTTTTTTTAGTAACGGTACTATCTACCTAACATTACAAAAATACTCTTGCAACTTACAATATATTACACAAATGTCATTACATTTATATCACAATACTAATAAGGATATTTTAGTTATTTCTACTTTATTCCTACTACATCCTAATATAATACTAATATTTTTAAAACTCCGTGCAAATAGGAAACGAATATATAATTATGGAATGAAGGGAGTATATATTAAGTGATGAAATTTAGGAAATGAGTGTAGCATACTCCGAAAGTAATGACACGCGAGGAAATAAATATTTTTTTCTAAAAAAATTTATATGAATATTTGATTCATTATATTCTCTAAAGTTTTCTAAAATTCTTATTATCTAAAAAACAATTAAATTGAATTTTTTAGACACATAAAGATGTTTGTTGAATATCTTTTTATCTTTAGTAACAACACAAAATAATAAGTTGTTACTATGTCAAATAGAAAATACTCCATCTGTCTAGAAAAGACGTTTTATTGGCGGTTAGCACAAAGATTAAGAAATATTAGTATTTAATTGAGAATGGATATAAAGTATAGCTAAAAGCTAAAATACTCTTACTTTTTAATGATTTTAAAAAGTAGATCAGAGTAATAATTATGAGTAGTTTGAAAAAGTTGAAATAATTTTGCTATAAAGTGGGGATCACTATTACTAAATAAGGAAACAAACAATTATTTTGAAATGGACGAAAATGAAAAAATAAGACATCTCTATTGGGACGAAGTGAGTAGTATTTTACTTTGTTTGTTGGAACTTATAAGGAATTAAACCTAAGCCCAAGACCTGTCATGTTGAAATAATTGAGATAAAAAATAAAGCAAAATAAATAAAACTCTATTCCTCATCATAGTTAGATTCGAATCTACAAATTATCGAAGGATATTGCATTCATAATAAGTGTATCTATATCTATATCTATATATATATATATATATCTTATCTTTATCTCATAAGTAATATGTTTACAATTCAACATATTTACAATAATATTGCTCAATAAATTGATTAAAAGAATATAAGAGATTAAAGGTATTATTATCATTTTTTTTTTCCATCTAATACAACTATACTTACACAATAAATATTATTGTTCTTTAATTTCCGTATAAAAAATAATTATATTTCTCTCGGACGGAAGGAGCATATATTACATAAATATTTTGAATTTAAAAAAATAATACTGTCTCAATCATTTAAATTTATTCTCACTTTTTTTTTTGTCATCCAAATTTATTCCTTTTTTTTAAGTAAAAAATACCACTTTTCTTTACCGAAAAAAAGTAAAAATTTCTATTCTTATCTATTTTTTTTTTTAAACTCGTGCCCGGTCAAATGAGCACACAATTGGACGACGGAGTGAGTACTATATTTAAAAAATTGAATTTAGGTACTTACATTTGCAATACTTTACTTGTTTTTAGATTTTTCACATCTTTAATTCAATTGAAAAATAACTTAAATTAATTAAACTTACATAGCGCATAAAATCTTTATTGTATCAACTATTAACAATTGTTTTCAAAAGGCTTTCTTGTATTGATCTTTTGATTCGATGCTCAATAAATGAAAAAAGATAAAATAATAATTAATTAATTAATTAATTAATTCTACAATATAAATTTAAGGTTTCTTCACCTTATATTTTTTACATGAATATATATATATATATTTTTTATGTTAAATAGGAAGAGTTGTATTGATAATATAAAAAATAATATTTTATATTAAAATATTAATTTTTTATAATAAAAAATATATATTATATATTATATTAATTTATGTAGATATTATATTCTTTAGTAATTTTTATGAAAATGGTGACAAATATATATATATATATATATAGAATGAACAAATCCTTAATTTTATTAAATGGAAAAAATAGAATAAATATAAAAATTCCAATTTAATTTGGTTTGAGCGATATTTATTTTTTTTATAATAAATTTTTTATAAGAAAAAAAAACAGTTAAAGAGAAGTATAAATGATAGTATAATTATTTTATTAAGAAAAATATACTTTTATTATTTTTTTTATGACAGAAGGAGTATATTTAAATTATACTAGTATTTAATTTAATTTAATACTATTTCTTTTGTTTCATATGGTTATTTTAGTCTATTCCACCTCTCAAATTTAATTTATTTTCTAAAAAATCACATATTTTCAAAATTTCAATTTATAAATTTTTTATTAATATATTTTTTATATATTTTGTTTGTTTAAACTAAAGATATAATGGTTTAACACGAAGCACCAGTGGTCTAGTGGTAGAATAGTACCCTGCCACGGTACAGACCCGGGTTCGATTCCCGGCTGGTGCAATCTATTCTTTTCCGGTTTTTTTCAATTAACGTACAACCATTTGATGCGTGAATGGTCAAAATGTTGCAATAGTCAAAAGTACAACACTATTTATATCTTTTGGTTCGTTGATGGTCCTACAGTATTTTCGTTTCGTTTATTTTCAGGTTTCCTACGAAAAACTCCGACGAATGTCATCGCCGCCGACGACCTCCGACTTCGCCGTGCTCCGGCCATGGGGGCAATTTGTAGACTTATCGGCGATCAGCGTCCCTATCTCTCTTTCCGAATCTTCCTACCGTATCAGCCAAAACCTTCGCTTCTTCCTCGCTAACTACGCCGTCCTCGCGCTTCTCGTCTTCCTCGTAACCCTATTTTCTCGACCTCTCTCCTTAATCTTCTTCCTCTGCATTTTCGCCGCGTGGTTCTACTTGATTTTCTGGCGCGAGGAGCCATTAACCGTCCTCGATTACGGCGTCAATCAGAATATTGTTCTCGGATTACTCGTTGTGATGACGTTGGTAGCGTTGTTCTGGACCGGACTGTGGTCGAATTTCTTTGTTGCGTTGATTTTCGGAGCTTTGCTCGTAGTTGTCCACGGCGTTTTGAGGGCGCCGGAGGAATCGATGGAGGATTCGCCGTATGGATCGTTGCTTAGTGTTGTGGATAGTCCGAGGGGAGACTACACTAGCGTATGAAAATTAGGGTTTCTTTTCGGGGGTAAGCTTTCTGATTAATTGGGATTTTTTTTTAGCCCTAATTTACTCATTTATTATTGCTCTTGTCATTGATTTTTGCACGCCATGGATTTGCTGTCACTACGCAATTCATTTGATTCTTTGTTTCCTGCCCTGCAATTAGCTGCAAGGGGATAAGCTTTTGTATGAACTGTGTATTGATTGTTAGTGATGATCAGATTAGCATTGGAATTATGTGTAAATAGCTTTCTTCTTTGCATCATTTCCTGCATTAGCTTCAAGATACAGTTTATTTGTTCACATTATATGACTTTGTATGAACTGTGCTTATCTGTTCATCCCTGATTTTGGTGAAGATGAAGAACTTTGAACAAATAGGAGACACAGTAACTGTTGCTAGAATTGTGTTGGTTCTTGTAATATATAGATGGATCTCAACGCTTCATTCGTAATATTTAAGGTATCAGGATTTGCTACATGTATCCCTTTGAATTGTAGTTGTATCCTTCTATGATTCCTGTGGAGATGTGACATTCAAGTAATACTAGAAAAGTAGTCAACATTCCTCTGAAACTTCATCGTGTTTAGGTGAATAGTTTCTCAGAAAACATTGAGGAATTTGAAGCTAAGCAATCAGCGGAAGCTTATGAGAAATTGGCTCTTGTTGAGATAATAATCAATGAATTCAAGAATGAAGTGAACACTAGATTAGCAGAGTTGGAGAGATCTAAATTTCGAGAAGAATAGAATCCTGTGAATTACTACTAAATGTTATTTCTTTGTTGAGATAAATAATTGATGAATCGAAAAGTGATGCGAACACTAGATGAGCAGAGTTAGAGAGATCTGAATTTCGAGAAGAATATACTCCTGCTAATTGCTACTAAATCTTATCTCTTTGGTTAGTTATAGACATGTTTCTTTGTTCCCTTTTATTCAATTCATTTTTTTCTTTTTTTCTGAAAAATTGGGTGCAGAAAGTTGCTTAGTACTTACAAGAACTTATTGTTTGAAAATAATCTTCGATGTCGAACATGTCTCTAGAACAAAGTAGCAGTATAATATAGAAGGAATTCATTAACTAAATAGTCATTTGAACCAAACCAAAAGGTTGTAAGGGTAGAAAAGAAATCAATAACATTACTAATACCCGAAGAACAAATAAAGTAATAAACCACCATTTAGCTTGAGTTGAACTGTTAGTCGATTTCTTACCGAAGATCCTATAGGCCCTTTTTTCCTAGTTGATATCCGAGTCAAGATCCGATGAGCCCTTTGCGCCGAGCATAGGATATTATAAATACAAACATTGCTGCACAAGAAATGCTTGTGATGATAACCACCTGTTAACAATTCGAGTAGAACTTTTTATTAGCAACAGTGCCTATAGGATTAGCTCTTCGAAATTTAGTTTTTACCCATTTGAACATGTGGCTATGGTTATAGTTCCATGTAAACGGAATGTTCATTCCGAATATTCCAGCCACCAACGAGTACACCGATAAGCACACAGTCGCTGAGTTGAGAAACAGCTCTAACTGCACACCCCAAACTACGGTTAGATACATCGAAAGTTCTATGAATTCTATATAGATATTCGGTTACCTGAATCAGCTGGTTTCGGTGATTATCGAGCTGAAAACAATAGACATAGACCGATAGTTTTTAGATCACTGTATTCGTATTATTCTTCGATGTCTAAAACAATGAAAAATTCTATCTTTATTACGAAACCTGAATGTTGATGTAATCTTCGGTGTTGTCTATGTACTCCCGTAGCTACAAGAACAATTCATCGAATGACTAACTATAGGGAACGCGGAAATACCTTCGAACCCGATGGAATAGTTCGTTATTTGCGCGTACCGTCGATAATTTGTTGAATGTGCTATCGATTTGCATGAAATAAGCCTGGGAGAGCAAATTGTAAAATGTTTAAGCTTCTTGTAGTAGTAATTTCTAAGTGTAAATAGATCTTTTTCTGTCTTTCTACCTCGAGTAGCGTTTCGAGATCTTCGATCTCGTTTTCTTCTCCGTGAACTGAGGCCACACTTACTCGACTAGCTCGCGATAGCTTAGATCCTTGAGTAGATGAGGTAATGAATCGCCTAGATGAAACCGAGCCACTTATAGACAAGGTACTAGTCGATTTTCTAGACAGGTAAAGGTCCGACATGTCGTCATCGTCGTTTAATAGTTGTTCTAGCTCGTCCCTCACCTACACGTACCCGAAAATACGAGTTTTTTACCTATCGAACAAAGAACTTAGTCATAGTCGGGGTAGATAATTCGAAACTAGACCTAACCTTTTGTACCTGAGCCGTTAGTCTTGTCATTCGACTCTTCAACCTATGCACCCGATCCAAATTCCGGCTGCTGATCTGCGAGAATCGTATGGTAACGAAACATCTCGTCGGGACAGTTTCTCTACGAGTTTTTAACAGAAGTCGTAAAACCAAAGTGGTCACCTTCGTCGTAAGAATGTCGAGAGCCGGGTACACTTCAGCCTCGAGTTCGATCATGCTCGCCACAAGGTAGCTACAAATGCCGTCGAGAACCACCTCGAGGGCTACGAACTCGAACGGAGAGTCTGCAATGCATCGACGCAGAAACATTGTTAGAACGCGTGTCATCGAACGGTAACGAAAACGGAGTTGTCGCGAAGGGTATTAGAATCAAACCGTCTTCTTCGGCGACTTCAGCTTCGTTTGCGATGCCCGAATCTCTATCTTTGATATCTTCCCGATGATTTACGATCGTCGCTTTTAGCCTCCCTCGAAGAACCTCGACCACCGGCGCGACGGCGTCGTCGGTCGGATCGCGAAGCAGCACCTGAACTAGCAACACAGTTACATGGGCTTGCAGAGGAACTTCAAGAATGAAGTTAAGTGTGGAGAAAAGGCTTACTTCTTCAGCTGTGATTATAGCCTTTATATGCTGCAATATTTGTGCGTATTTGATGAAGACAGCAAACAAAATTGGGTTAGTAGCGCCAAAATTAGGTGTGAAAAGAAATCTGGGCCTAGAGTTGTCGAAGTTGGATCATGCTGGCCCATTTTTTAAAAAATTAAAAATACTATAATTTTAAATTTAAATATTTTTAAAATTTGTTAATATATATAGTACATGACATGATTAATGAACTTTAAATATATAATTCCAAAATCTAAATATTTAATTCGTAGACTATGGCTTTTCTCCAAATTTCAAACTATTATGTGTTTCTTTGGATTTTAATTTGAATTTATTATTAAAATGACGAAATAATAAACTTTGATAAATTTTGTAAAAAGAAATAATAAAAATTAATTAAAAAAGAGGTGGATTTGTCTAACATAGTTGCAAATTGGACCATATTTGGGCCTAATATTCGAAGCTCTTTTTTTTTTTTAATTTGGGCTTGGCTATGGCTGATTTTTTTTTAGCTTTATATTCAACCTTATTTATAAGCCGTGCTATCCTAAACATATTTATATATATATATAAAATGTGAAAATGAATCATTTCCACGTCATTAAAAAGAATTAAATTAAATTAAATGACACATCAGCAGATCTGATGCTCACGCACAAGAAGTCCTCATTAGTTAATTTTTTAACAAACAAACAAATTAAATAAATAAATAAATACTCTATTTTTTTCATAATTATAGTATGAGTTGTGTTTGGCACGATTGTGAATAAAAAATACGAATAAAAAAAATAAGTAATAATAATAAAGAGGAAGCATTAAAAAAGATATGAAAACTTACTTGGAGATTAAGAACAATGGCGGTGCCGCGAGCAAGAATGGCGGAGGGATACGACAGCGAGGGGTCGAGTACACGCATATCACGCGCGTGTATCTCCACGCGCTCCATTATCGCGTATTTGTCCACTTCCATCACTCTCTCTCCTCCCCAACGATCCATCACAACCCACCTCCTCCACGCGCCGCCCCCGCCCCGCCGCTTCTCCGCCATTACGACGGCCGGAAATTATTTGCTGATCAAATCAAAACCAACAAGTTCTGCTCGCGTAAATACAATACAGTAAAATAAATAATTTGGTTTCCATTATATTATTACATTAGAAAATTAGAATTAAAATTCAGATATTAATTAATGGAAGCTTTGGTTAGAAGAAGCAATGAAAAATCGAATCATCAGTTCTCACTGACTCACAACTGCCTATTTATATTTTTATTTTGTATTTAAATAGTAGTTAGATATTTTATAACAAAAAAGTATTTAGGGTGTGTTTGTTTGAAGGATTTTGGTGGATTTCCACTATTCATCCAATTTTTTCCCCCCAAAAACATCAAATCAAACACCTATTTTTCATTTTTTATATTATACTAAAAATCAATTTTACATTCAAAACATCACATCAAACCCTATTTATATCACATCATACAACTATTCAAATTCAAAATTTTTACTATTCAAATCCCAACTCAAAATCCAAACCCCCAAACAAACACACTAGTGTATTTTTTAGTTGGACGTAATATTTTGTTATAAGAAATATTATAAATTTGGTTTTTTTTTTTCATTATAAAAATCACCTTGAATAAATAAAATTACATACTCCCTCCGTCCCAATACAATAGTCTTATTTACTATTTTTGTTCGTCTCAAAACAATAGTCTTATTTTCATAAATAACCATATCACATTAAAATTATCCTTATTTTTTTCATTTTAATTACACAATTGTCACTACCTTTTACACTAACACACTCACAGGGACAAAAAAATCTTTTATCCATACTTTTACCAACTACTAATATAATATCAATATTCCTTAAATCCAGTGTCCAACCCAATTAAGACTATATTTATGGGACGGGGGGAGTATAACTTTTAATAAAAAATATAATACTACATTCTTTCCAAAGAAGAGTACCATAATTTTTATGAGTATTGATATTTGAATATCAATTATTATACTAATATATTGTACAAAAAAAAATACCTCTATTAGTCTCTTATAATACAAATACAATGACATTTATGAAGTAAATTATACAAATTGTGCTTTTTATATGGGACAGAGGTAGTATTATTTTTTTCTTAAATATTTTAAAAATAATAATAATAATAATAAAACTACTTCATCAAAAAATATTTTCAAGATTGTATTTGTTTTATTATTTTGTTAGTTTTTAAAGTTTTTTTATTTATGCTAAAAATAAATATAAAAAAGTATTTTCAATAAAAATATAATTTATGTGGAATATTGTATGTAGTATCACGGTAACCTATTTTATGCGAAGTAATATTACATTTTGATATTTTATGGAATAACCTTCTATGGACGAAAAAGGAAAATATTTTTTATTATTAGAATTATAAAAAATATATATATATATATATTTGTTTATATATATATGCAATCTGAATTTTATGAATGACATTTATAGAATATTTTTTTCCAATAAATGTTTTTTTAGATGGATATTTATAAATGTTGTATATATATACTTTATTATTATTATGATTATTATTATTTCATTTAATATATTTTTTTAACAATATAATACACAATTACTATTAAATTAAAAAACCAAAAAAGCCATGTTTCTTTAGTTGATTTTTCACAAATTTTTATTATTTATTTTTTTTTTAAAAAAAAAATATCAAATTAAATACTCTATCCGTCATGTAAATATATGTAGGGGTGGACAAGGTTCGAATATTTTGCAAATATACAAGTATTTGATATCCGAACCGAACAAACACCCTAAACCGCGAACCGTATTCGAACTGAAAATTTCGGTTAACAAAAAATATGTGCAAATAATTCGAATGGAACCGAAATTAAAAAATAATATATAAAAAAACTAATTAAAATTCTAATTAAATCAAAATATTTGCAAATATTTCAAATATACGAACTGAAATCGAACCAAATATAATTATTAATATAAATTTTAAAATATAATAGCATAAATATATAAACCGAACCGAACCGAGCAAATATCAAATATACAGTATTTGTATTCGAACCGAATTTGCTCGGTTAACCAAAAATTTGGTTTGATTCAACGGTTTGGCGGTTCGGTTCGATTTTTTTGCCAACCCCTAAATATATGCCCATTTGACGGGACATAAATTTTAAGAAAAATTGGTAAAAATAAATTTTATTTTGTTTATGGTAAAAAAAAAAAATAGAAAAAGTTGTATCTTTTTATGAAAAAGAGAAACATGAATAATTTTGAATGACAGAAAAAAATAAAAATAAATTTGAATCACATAAAAAATCATATATCTATTTATAACACATAAAATAACTATCAAATTTAATTTTTATTATTAAAAAATCAAACTCAAAAATAAAATTGACAAACAAACACACTTGGATGGAAAAATTTTGATTTAAATTTTATATTTAAATAATAGTATTTGATATTGCATTTTATAAAAAAAGAAATGAAAAATGTAGTTTAAGAAACTTACCCCAAAGTATTTGTCATTGGGAATATATATATATATATATATACTTTTTTATACAGTAGAAAAAGAAGAAAAAAATTTTAACAGCAAATTTCTTAATTATTGCTTTCTTTCTTGGAGTTAATTATATTAATATTAAATACAACAAACTTATTAACTAGTTAAGTGCAATAAATACTGCCTTATAATTTAATGATGCACCTATAATAATAATAATAATAATAATAATAAGGCTAAATTGCATTAAATTTAAAGGTTAAATTGCATCAAATTCATATATTTCTAAAACTGTGTCAAGTTCGTTCGTGGTTTCATAAATTTTGCGTTTAACCCTCTCAGCGGTCTTTATTGAACGGTATTTAACATAAATGCACTCAAACTGCAAATAAATTTTAAAATATTAATTTCTAAACCCCTAAAATTACAAATACATTTATTTTTCTTATATTTAACCTCAAAAAATATAATAAAAAATAGTTATTTTTCTCAGGTTTTAAGAATTTTTTTTTTTACAGTTTTTTTTAGGCTAAATGTAAGAAAAATAAATATATTTATAATTCTAGGGGTTTAGAAATTAAGATTCTAAAATTTATTCAAAATTTGGGTGCATTTAGGTCAAATACCGTTAAATAAGGACCGCCGATAATGCCATTCGTTTCATGCATTGGGACCATCATAATTCGACTGAAAATTCCACTTTGACTGATTACAGTTTTAGTGTCTCGTGAATGTAATAACACAAAATAATCATCACATTTTCACAATCTTAGGTCGTTGTATTTTTTTTATGTAGGATGATGATATTTTCCAAATGTATTGAGGTTGGATATATTTTAATATTACAAACTCATACCATATAATATTAGTCAGGAAATGTGACAAATTTCTGTTTGCAAAGTCATTCATAATAAAAAGAAAAAATATGGAAAATTACCTATACGTTTCAGATTTTTTTTTTTTTTTTTATATTTTTTATTTCAGTTGTCACACTTATTCATTTTTTTTCGAAAATAATTATACAATTTAATTACCTATTATATTTTATATTTTATAATTTTATTAATTGTATTATATTAATTGATTATATTAATCTTAATTATAATTATTTTCACACTTAACGTGCATGTTGAATATTAACACAGATAGATGTATGCAGAAAATCGAAAATTGATGATGATTGCATTAAACAATTGCAATCTTTATACACATACATAAAATCGATGCACCATACGCAGCTATTATAATTAGAGCTGTTAAAAGAATCAAGCCGTTCGGGAACTCGGTTCGATTCGGTTCAGTTAAAGCTCGTTTGCAAACGTTAACGAGCCGAGTCGAACAACATAAACAGGCTCGTTTGGTTAACGAACGAGCCCGAACTTTGTTCGCAAACATTCGCAAACGTTCGTTTGAATAATATATTTATTATAAATATTATATACATACAAAATTATAATTTATAAATAAATAAAATTTTAAAATATATAAATAAAATAATTTAAATTTTCTTTATAATTTATATAAATTTTAAAAAATAAAACAAACGAGCTCAAACAAACTTAATCGAATTTAAACGAGCCGAACACGAGCTCGAACACTACGAATGAGCTCGAAAGCTTAACGAACGAACACAAGTCTTGTTCGCGAATGTTAACAAATACTTAAAATTTGACTCGGTTGGGATCGTTAACAACTGTAATTATAACACCCCATAATTTTCCATTAAAAAAAATAATCCAAAAATACACCCCAAAACACACCCTAAATCTCCTATACACTTATAGAAAAAAAAAAAAAAAAAAAAGTATAAATACAAAGTGAATTCTCAACTACAACACTTCCGTACACTCATCAACCTCGCTTCATCTTCAACCCTCAAACCCTAACCCTAAACCCTAACCCTGCACGGCCAGAGCCTGCAAGTGTTCGATGAACACCTGCAAGCTCACATCGTCCGTAAACACGATCTCGGCGCCCTCCGCCGCACCGCTCGAGTTCTGCGTAACTGAAGGATTCAGCTTCGCCAGAAGAAACCTTGCCTGGCTGCTATGTTGATCGCACTTGATCAGCTTCGGCACCGGAATCCTCTCTCCGGCCAACTGCCCGGCGTCGACCTCGACCGCTTCCAACAGCTTCTTCAAACTTACGTGGGCGGGATCCCGATCGTACCCCAGCTTTCGCCACTGGACAATCCGAGAACCGTAGTGAACGACGACGTGAAAAAACGAGTCGAACAGCAGGATCACATCGGGGGAGATCGAGCAGACGTCGAGCACGACCGGGACCGGCGGCCCATCAAATGAATACCGGAAAAGCGTCGGCTGAACCATGATAAGAGAGTTGATGACGGCATCCCGGTTCAACATCAGTCGGAAAAACGCCGTCTCGTCGGGAGTGCTGTTGAAGACGTCGATGAATTGGGATCGTCTCAGGTAGTACATGAACTGCGGGAACAGAGAAAAGTTCGTCGATAGACGGAAGCTGGAGGGGTCTTCCTGGACGTAATCCCCGAATTTCGACGCGAACCGTATCAGGTTCTTGTCGAGCCATCTGATGACTTCTTCGGATAAGTTTCGCTCGGCCATGTCGATCGCGAGCCTCGCCATTACCGCAGCCGCGGCTTCCTGGTCGAATCCAGAAACAATTTCGGGCGAGTGTTTCGTAACCCATCTTCTTGCGACCGTGGTTACCCGTTTTCGAAGCCCCGTGTTGCTGTATCGGTAACGTGTTATGAACTGTATGAAGAAAGCCGAGCCGGGCTGAGCTTTCTGCTCGTTCGCAACTTCGAAGAAGAACGCGATGCACGTTTTCGGAGTAACGGTGCCCGTTTTCCAAACGTGGGTGCCGCCTTCGCCGATCACTTTGTCGCTCACGGAATCGTTCTTCTTTTTGACGGAAATGCAGGGGCCGAGGGCTCCGTTTAATTTCACGTCGTTGCTAGTCACGACCTCTATCGTTGCGTCAAAGAACATCTTCAGATTTCCATCGTCGTCGCGGTGAAATAGGTGGCGGAGGCATTTTCTGAACTGCTCGGATTCGAATGTCTCCCCTAGCATCATGAAACCGCCGGAACTCTCGACCGGGACTTTTAGTTCAGCGGCTCCGACCTGATCCAGAGAACAGGCGAACAGATCAAGAACGATGGATGAATCAGATAATCTCCTAGATATTTGCTTGTAGAAGTTGCTCGATCTTTTATGGAAGGAGGCGTAACCAGTGTTGATGTCTCGGTGAGTCCTGATAGAATCGCCGTAGTCGGAGCTGACGATTGCTCCCGGGCCGACAGTTGCGGGTCCCGATGTGAAGACCATCACTCGTGAACCGGTGTTTATCGAGCATCCTTCCAAAAGGCCTACGGCTACTGATATCGCAACCCCTGTAGATCGTAGAGGCCGATGCCTCGGCTTGATAAGAGGTGACGAATCGATTTCTTCGATTGCTTTCATGATGTTGAATTCACATTCGGCAACCGGTAATAGAAAGCCCTGCTGTTTTACTGTTGGCGATTTTCCCAGCGACTGCTTGACGTGGTGGAGCCTTAGAAACTGTTTAACCTGTGATAATGCAAGCGTATATTTAATAAACATAAACGAAGAAAAAGTAGAAAAGGAAATGCCGAGAAGATCTCAAGAAAGTGAACAAAACTATATATATTTTGCGCGAGCCCGTATGTGTCCTAAAACAAATATGTCGAAGTCCCATTTCTGATTCATTAACAAACACTACTTCAAATGCAAGATGTACGATAACTCATTACATATATGCAAACTATCTTCATTTCTTGATGTGTAACCGAGAAGTGCTTCTAGCAATACATCCCTGGCATAAGCAATGATCCTACTAATGAGTAACTATAAAAACTTTCGCAATCAATTAGTCCAAATCTAAACGAGCAGTTTTATCACAACGGAATTTGCTATACAACTACGCAGACATTCTAGAAACAGAGGCGCTACTGAAATTCAGTTTGGTAGAAATGCAGCAACTGAAAGTGAGAATAAATGGCGTAAAAAAGAGGTATCGAGCAGTATCAATCCGTAACTAAACAAAATTCTTCTGTACATTAACCCGGTGTTCCTTTCGTATAAGAAATACCAACAGTACCATTAAAACCACGTTTCAACAGAATAACAAAAATTAATCTCCGGACAAGCGATCTTACTCCAAGTAAAAGATATTGATTATAATACACCAATCTTGAGATATCAAGAATAACATTTTAGGAACACACTTAAAAAACATAATGTTGAAGAAAATCGAATTATAGGATTTTTTTTCGAAACAAGGATCAAACCAATCATACACATTCAAATTCAATCATCTATGGAAGGAGTAAATAAGTTATTAATCTATGACAAATGCAGCAAATATGGAAGAAGAGAATTTTCTCCTGAATAAGAACTATCAAGTTAAGAAATCGAAGCTAAGAGAGAAAGAATTGGACCTGTTCCGATGAAACCTCACGCTCACCATGGAAGACTACAACCTTGGAACAATCTGTGAATCCCAAATCATAAACCCTCGCCATGGCATCGAAAACCACCAAACCAACCAACGAATTCTCAGGCAACCGCGTGATCGTGTGCAGCAATTCCATCTTCAGCACCTGGAGCTCCTCCGGCGACGTGCAGCCATCGACAACAAACACAAATGCAGGTCCAACCCCAACCACGGCCCCTGCTCCATCCAAACCTAATCCCGAAGCAGAATAAGACGAAATACTCGAAAACGAACTACTATTCGATCTCAAACCTAATTGCCCACTCGCACTTCTTCCAAACCCTAGGCCCGAGCCCGAACCCGAGCCCGACACATTACCGTGGCTCAAATGATACTCGATGGTGCTGTAAGTGGGGAAAAGCTCCGCTGGGATGTTGTTCTCGTTAATATGAGCATACGATCTCGGGAATGGATTCTTCCGGTTGCAGAAGGGGCACACCCAGATTTTGGATGCGTAATCGACGCGAGAATAGGGGTTCAATACGGCGGCGCATTGGGAACAACAGATCGGTTCGTAAGGGAGGATCGGAAGCTCGGTGAAAGGCGTCAATGGAGTGCACATAATGGAGAGTGGAACCACCAGCGATGAGACTTCGGGCTTGGAGACCGGCCATGAGTGCCACGACCAGCGTAGGCCTTCGATTTCTTCCAATTCGGAAAAATCCATTAGAACGACGAGGAGGATCTCGTTGGCAGGTTGCGGAATCGACAAATATCCCTAATCAAGATCAGATTAGGGTTTTGGGATTTGGGGAATTTCATAACAGTGGGTTTTCATGTATTTCTTCGGCCGGCAACGACGAGCAAAGCGGGATTGAAGAAAAAGCTAAATCACGTGCGTAGCACATGACTAAAGGAAATACCTTTTCCTTACGGATATCTTTTACCTATAATTTTTAGGCCCGCAAACGGATCAAATCGTTCAGGTTCAGGTCAGCTTAAACTGGTTACAAAACCTTTGATCTGAACTTGACTCATTTAATTAAATAAATTGATATTTATAACCTTAACATGAATCTAACTCATATAATCCGCTTAAATTTAAACTTTTTAAATTTTAATTTAAAAATACAATTTATACTAACAAAATTTTTAAATGCATAATATATATACATATTAAAACAAAAAATTATTTATTCATGTCATGAAACCGATATTCAAGAATTGAATTAACAAACACTACATAATAGTAAACAACACAATCCTTTATTTTTTATTGTTTATTTTTATAAAATTGGTCATAAATATTAAATTGTAATGATAAAATTTTAAAAATATATTTAAATTTAAAATAATATTAATTAAACAGGTTAGACGAGTTATTTTCAAGTAAAAAATATAAACTTTAATTTGATCCATTTAATTAAATGGATTAAACGAGTTTGACCCAATTATTAATTGGGTCGAAAATCTCAACCCAAACCCAACTATTTTAGGTCAGGTTCAGGTCGGGTTCATTTTTGCCATCCGTAATTTTTACTCATATAGATCTCAAATAATTTGTCCATATTTGCTATTTTCGTCAGTTCCATATAATTTATTTTTTTTCGTTTTTGGAAATATAATTATACACTTTAATCTCATTTTATATTTTAAATTTTATAATTTTTTAATCTTAATTAAACTATTTAGATATCTTAATCTTAATTTACAATTATTTTTACTATACAATAATTACTTTTACTAATAAACTTCTTAATTACTTACTAATTACACTTTACCTAAATACCCGATATCTACAATAACACGTCCATATTATTATTTTAAATTTTAAAATATGATTAAAATGTATACTCATTTTCCAAAAAATTAAATGACTAATTATGTGGAATGGACAAAAATAGAAAATATGAATAGATTTTTAGTAACTGTTATCTACCACTACAATACCTTTCAAATTTACAATACATTACACAAATATTATTACATTTATATTATAAAAAAACTAATAAGATTATTTTAATTTGTTTATCTTTATTTATACTATATTCCAATATAATACTAATATTTTAAAAATCATGTGAAAAAACAAATTGACAAATAGATATGAGACAGAGAAAATATAATTAATAAAATAATTAAAAATATATATTAATAAAATAAATATTATAAATTAAGATAACTAATTAATTTATTTAATATTAAAAAATTATTAATTATAAAAATTAAAATCAAATTAAATTATATAATTATTTTTCTTTAAAAAATAACAAATAAGATAAAGACATACTAAAATTAAAATAATAGATATATAAGGTGAAAAAGAAAAGGTGTTTTCTTTGTAAATTATACAAAAAAAAATGGCATAATATTATCAGACGAAAATACTAATATATATTGAAACAAATATGTATCATAGATCAATATAAATTTGTCAATAAATTGAAAAAAAAAATGTAATGAAATGAAATCTATTGAGAGGAAAGAGAGATTACAAATAAAAAAAAAAAAAACAAATAAAGTATGTGAAAAAAAATACTACATCCGTCCCACGTACCGTGTCTGCTACACTGTAGATATGGTATTTTAAGATGGGTGTAATTAGTAGATAATTAAGAATGTATTAGTAAAAATAATTATCCTATAATATAAATAATTATAAATTAAGATTAAGATAACTAATTAGTTTAATTAAATTTTTTTAAAAAATAAATTAAAAAGTTTAAAATGAGATTAAAGTGTGTAATCATTTTCCAAAAAAGAAAAGTGACATAGTATGTGGGACGGATAGAAACGACAATATGGACATGGTATGTGGACGGAGGGAGTAAGATATAAGACGTCTGTATCGATTCCCATCATGTTTGTATTTGTTCGTAAATATGGTTATGTTTATGTTTCAAATTTGTAATGAAATTTTGAGATAGTCATAAATCAACATAGCTATATTTACAACCAAATACAGTTGTATTAAGTTGCAAATAAATTTAAACTTTTAGGACTTATTTTTTTTTTAAAAAAAATTCTTGACCATCATTTTTCACTAAGAAAGATATTTAAATATAAAACACTCATCCGTCCCATAACAAAGTATCCATTTTTCCATTTTAGTCCGTCTCATAACAAAATATCCATTTCATTTTTTAGTAACTGTAATATCTACCTAAATTACAAATACCCTTACAACTTACAATATATTACACAAATGCCATTACATTTATATCACACATACTAATAAGATTATTTTAGTCATTTCTACTTTATTCCTACTATATCCTAATATAATACTAATATTTCTAAAACTACGTGCAAAAAGCAAATGGATACTTACTTCTGAGACGGAGGGAGTATTAAATTTTACATCCAAAATGCACAAGAAATTTAGAAAGTTCTAGAAATAAAATTTTCAGTCCCCAACAATAGTAGAGTATGTAAAATGACAAAGAAGATTTATATGGAGTCGGGCAAGACAGGTGTAGAGTATAAAAAATAGGTGTTTGATTTGATGCTTTTGTTTAAAAAAAATTGGATGAATAATATATTTATAATTCAATTCTCCAAACAAACACTCTTCTTAATTAAAACCAAATAATTTCTCATAATTACTTTTTTTTTTTTTTTAACCATTTTCATAATAGCTTTTTACATACTTTTCTTCTAACAAAAAATATGACCGTCGTCTCTATAGGAATCTTACCTAGACGGCGTCGAAGAAGCATCCAACGGATCGATCTCCAGTGAATAGTTTCTTTTGATATAATTTTTAATTTTGTTCACCTCACAAATTCTCCTCTCTGTTCTGTCCTTCGGCGGATTCAAAATCTGACGTTGCTAAAGCAGTCTTCGGAGAATAAATCACAATCGGAAGTTACCTTCGTACACAGAGGAGCGTATTTTCAATGTGAGATGAATAGAAAGCGATGTAAATTTCGAAGGAAAGGAAGAAGGCGCCGCCGATGGGCGGAGAAAATGTGTCTAAATTAGGGCGTCTGCTCTAAGTTCTTTTTCTTATTAAATGAAATATATTGGTTGCGTTCTTTTGTGAGTTTTACCACAAGTTTTTACTATTTAATTTTTATTTTTTTAAAAAAAAATTATATCAAATAATTACTTTTCTTTTTTTATATTATACTACAAATTTATTTTACATTCAAAACATCACATCAATATCTATTTATATCACATCAAATAACTATTCAAATTCAACTTTTTTACTATTAAAAATCCAAACCCACATACAAAGACACCCATAATGTTGTGTTGATATGTATTGTTTGATCATATTTTACAAGTTTTGTATTAATATACTCCTCCAGTCTCCGTAACAAAATATTCATTTTTCCATTTTAGTCCGTCCCATAACAAAGTATCCATTTCCTTTTTTAGTAACTGAACTATCTACTTAACATTACAAATACCTTTACAACTTACAATATATTATACAAATGCCATTATCTTTATATCACACATACTAATAAGATTATTTTAGTCATTTCTACTTTATTCCTATTATATCTCAATATAATACTAATATTTCTAAAACTACGTGCAAAAAGCAAATAGATATTTAGTTCCGGGACAGAGGAAGTATCTTTTTTGTAACATGTATTGTATAAATTATTATCATATATTGCCAGTTTATGCATTTGTATTATGTTAATATACATCTTGCGTTGTTATTTTATATCACACATACTATTTGTTTATACTCTCTCCGTTCCATAACTATGTATTCATTTGTTTTTTGCACAGAATTTTAAAAATATTAGTATTATATTAGAATGCAGTAGAAATAAAGTAAAAAGGACTAAAATAACTTTATTAGTACTGTGTGATATAAAGGTAATGATATTTGTGTAATATATTGTAAGTTGTAAGGATATTTGTAATGTTGGGTAGATAGTACAATTACTAAAAAAAAGAAAATGGATACTTTGTTATGAAACAGACTAAAATGAAAAAATGAATACTTTGTTATGGGACGAATAGAGTATTTTATATCTCAATTAATAATTATTTGATGTAATATAAATATGCATTAATGTTGTATTTCGACTACAAAATTATATTTAGTATAATATAATAAATAAAAATTAAATATTTGATTTAATGTTTTGGATTTGAAACAATAAAACGAACATCAAAATGTCACGAGTAAAGGTTTACAAATTTGTGTTTCCACTATGTATGTTTATTAATTAGTGGGCATTGGTCCAATTATTTTCTAAGAATAAAATATTAAACCCAATATAAAGTTACCCCAGCCCAATAACTTAGAAATATGATTTGGATTTTGAACTAATGAGCCAAATTTTTCTGCACAATCCAACGTAAATTCGAATAAAATTATTTATTTTAAATATATATATAGGGTAAATTGTTTTTTTGTTTTTTTTTAGCTCCGAACTGAATTCCCTTATTATTTTAGTCCCGTAAGTGGAGTCTGTCGCAAACTAGTCCCATAAGTGAAAATTTTTCGCTATTTTAGTCCTCGGGCGCCGGAGATGCCCGCGTGGCTCGCTGGAGGTGACGTGTCTGTCAGGTGTTGCTGACCTGGCGGACACGTGGATTTTTTTTTTTATTTTTTAAATTTTTTTAAGACTTATTTTTAATTTATTTTTAATTTTATTTGTATTTTTTTATTTTTTTATTTGGTCTAATTAAAAAAAAATTAAAAAAATAATAAATCCACGTGTCCGCTAGGTGTCGCTGACCTGGCGGGACACCTGGTGGATACGTCACCTCCGGCGAGCCACGCGGGCGTCTCCGGCGCCGAAGGACTAAAACCATGAAAATTTTTCACTTATAGGACTAGTTTGCGACATGCTCCACTTACGGGACTAAAAAAACAGTTTACCCATATATATATATATATATATATATATATATATATAGACACCAAATTAGAATATTTTTGTTCTTTTTAATTCAATTTATAAATTTTCATTAAAAAAGCATAACATTGAACATTGAAGAAATTCTACTTTAGAAATCAGCACTTACAAGATTCAATAAGCTCTTAGATTATCAAATACTAAAATTAGTTTATTTTTTTTTATCGACGAAACAATTAAAAACTATTCAATAAGTTAAAAAGTTCATAAATAAATTACTTTGCAAACACCTTCTTAATTTTTTTTTATTTTCTCTTAAGATATTGTATTTAATACTTAATTATTTAAATATAAAATATTAATTCAATAATTATTTTTTTTGTCTAAAAAAACATAAAACAAAATTACAAAACAATGCACAGAAAGCTAAGTAGTGTTTGTTTAGTAAGTTTTACATAAGGTATGGATTCTATTTAGAAGTTACAATTCATAAACTTTACCAAACACACAATATATATATCTATATATATATATAATTATATATTTTATTTCCCCAATTTTAAACAACTTTCGACATGCATTAATTACATTGTCGAGAAGACTTTACCAAATTCATCATTCAAATATCTACACAAAAAATAATAACCAAAAAAATAATATAGAAAATAAAAATCCATTGACAAGAAATTATTGGTGATCAAATTAGAATGTACAATGACCTAACTTACTTAGAACTTTACTAATATAGAAAGAATTTTCATTTAACATAATATATTTTTAAAAAAAAAAAAAAATTGATTTTTTCGGATGGGTTTCGATTTTTCTTTTCAAGATCTTATAAAAAATAAATTGAAATATGGGATAAAATAAAAAATCTATGCATATAGAAACAATCTTCATTGTCGAAAGGAAAATAATTCAGATCATATTGTACAGAATAAAATATAAATTTTTCGAATAATTAATATTAAATCAATTCTATAAAAAGAAATAAAAATTTGAATTTGTATTAAAAACAAACCAACCTAGAATTGCATCATGGAACATGCATGTGCTAGATTCAACAACTTGACCAACAAATAAATAAAAATAAATAAACTCCAATCATTCAAGAAATATAAAAACCCTAATTTAAAAATTAAATTAAATTAGACAATCTGTAATATCTATCTATAAATATATATAATTCATGGAAGTAATTAATTAGTTATTTAATTATTAATGATTAGAATTTTGCAATGAAAAGGAATAAGTGGCATGAGCATACATGCACATGGCTGTGTTCCCTTTAGCCCTCCAATTGGGGGACTATAATAATCAACCAACAGTAAATTCAATAATTAATAATTCAATAAATATTTCAATATATATATATATATAAATATTTTAATTATATTTTGCCTTTTGCTATATATATCTATATCTATATTATAATTATTAAACTCAAAAAACAAATACAACAACTCATGTGACAGCAAATGATAACTACAATAAAATAAATGAATTAGGGACTAATTGGCTTATAAAAATAATTATATATTTGTATACCCAAATATTTGACCACAAATTTTCAATAAGATGGATAATAATTTTTTATTTTTTTTATTTCCTTTTACAGTAAATAAAAGTTAAATATTACATTCCTCCGGCTCTAAAAGTCTTATTTACATTGCAAAAATAGTTTCATTAGTCTCTTATAATACTAATAAAAGAATATTTGTAAAAAAAAATATTTTTTTATAAAAATAATAATAATAATAAAAGAATATAGATTTAGGAATATATATAACAAGAAAGGCAGACAATACACAAATAAATTATGTCTATAGATTTCTCACATCTATAAATATATTATGTAATAACAGGAAATAAATTAATAATAATAATAATATTATTATTACAAAACACAGAGACACATAGGAAGTCATGAAATTCAGGAAACCATGATTGTCTGCAAAATATTAATTAAACAGAGAATTAAATAAAACATATGAAAATTAAAATTGACAGGCAATTCATTACATGCATGCATTTCTTCTTCTTCTTCTTCTTCAGCATCTGCTCTTGCATTTCTCCATTGCTCTTGGTGCTGAATTTCATCATAGATAAATGAATAAATATGAATTAATAAATGTTTATTTTAAAAAATAAATAAATTATATTATTGAAAAAAAATGTAATACCGAGTCCAATCGCTTCGGATCCCTTCATGATGCGAAGGCGTTTGCACGAATCGACAAACATCCTACACACACGCGCAAAAAAAATTATTACATACTTCACTATCGTTGTTGTCGAAGAATTTCCTTATTATATTCTCGATCGCGAGTTTGTAGAAAGATGAGGGTTTGGACATAATTAAAATTTTGAGAATAGTAAAAAAATTAATATCATCTCAGAGAGTATATCGAAAATAATAATAATAATAATAATAATAATAATAATAATAATAATAATAATAATAATAATAATAATAAAATAAATAAATGGTTTAATTACAAACTAAACAATATAATGACAAAAAAAAAAAAAAAAAAACTATTAAACAAAAATATATACATAAATAAAAATGTTGGTAGAACACTATCAAAACCTAATAATTCTTGAATCATAAGTGTATTTTTTTTTTTTTTTATATGAAGTATAGAAATCCTGTCGGTAATATAAAAAATAATATTTTAAGATGAACGTGATCCTTTTGTAAAAAGAATACAATATATATGATATATATTGAGAATTGTGTCGATAAAAATAATATTTGGATAAAAAGATAGACGAACCTTAAAAAACCCTAGAAAAATATGTCGGTATATGTTATAACACTATTCAAGATACAATCGATCGATCGAGTCGAAACATATATATATACATATATATGTATATGTATGTATAAGTGATTAAATAGAGAAACTTACTCCCAAGGAACATCTCCCACAAGCATCCAATCTCCATCTTTATCTTCATAAGTGGGAACATATTCAGAACTGTTTAGCAGATCCATAAGTTTCCTCTCATTCATGAAATCTATCATTCCTTGCCTCCCATATTCCCCTATACAAAAAAATAATTTCATAATTTAAAAAATAAATAAATAAATATTATTTGTTATTTAATTATTAATTATTAATTTTAATTAATTACCCATAGTGAAGGAGCTGAACATTTTGGCCAAGGCATCAGACAGCTGCTCATAGCTTTTGTACATTTTCAAGTCAACCTTACGTAGATACGGCGCCCCGTCCATCGACACCTTCACAAACGCCGCCGGCGCCGCCTCCTCGGCGGAGGAGCCACGGCCGCCGCCGCCCTTCTGATTTGCCATTATGTTCTTCCGGAACGACCGTACCGGCGGCCATCCCACCACCTGTGCCCTAAAAGAATAAAATTAAACACGTAAATATTTGTAACATGAAATAACATTAAAATTAATTTATTGAAATTATATATATATATATCTGAAATAAAATTAATTTTTACTTGGCAGGTGGTTTGACGTGATCTTTGGGAGGATCTACAGCTTTGTCCATGGCGGGGGGTTTCAGGCCTTCTTTCAGATCCGAAGCAGGAGAGTCGTTGGATTGAAGATTGAGATGAAGATCAACGGTCTCAGAGAAGCCACGTTTTCCGGTGATTTTGGTTTCAGTTTCGGCGGCGGCGCCGCCGCCGGGAAGGCCGAGGCAGAGCTCGGTAGCTTTCAGATTGAGGCCGTGCTCCTCCGCCTGCAACATTCCGGCGATATTCCGGCGAACTTCCATTGAAACAGCAAGTAATTCGAGTAATTAATTATATATCCTCCGCCGTCTTCCGCCGTCGCCGTCGCCGTCGATGGTGGTTGCTCTCGTCGTGGTTTTGGGTAATAGTTTTGAAGTGATATGTGTGTAGTGTAGATTGGGTTTGGGGGAAATATTATATAACGAATGGACGGCTGGGATGGAGTCTCGAGTCCCGTCCGACACGTGGCGGATGATCAACGAGTGGATTGTATGGGATCAAGTGCATGTTACTTAATTATAGTTGGAATACTTTTTAAATTAAATTAAATTGATGTGTTAATAATTTATCCACTCGTTAATTAATGGATCAACTGCAGGGCTTATTTTTTATTTATTTAAATAAATAATGTATATATATATTTAAAAAAATAAAAATAAAAATAAAAATTTGGGAGGGCATGATTAAGGGAACCAATAAATGAATGTGGTCCTGAAACAGATCAACAAAAAATTTATTTATTTATTTATTTATTTATTATATGGTAATAATAATAGTTATTATTATTATTATTATTATTATTATAAATGGTTTAATTAATTTATAATTGAATTGACCAATCATATATTGTTTGGTTAGTAATGTGTATATATTCTACACGTATATGTGCTTTCCATGTGTTTTCATGTGTCGTGCTTTTCGGGCATTGTCATTGTTTATTTAATTAATTAATTAATTATTATTATTATTATTATTATTATTATTATTATTGAACCATGATCATTCATAAATTCAAATAATTATTGTGATAATTTTCAAAGGGTAACAGGTTAATAATGTGATAATTATACGCAATAATTTAATTAAAAATAATTTATTTTTTAATAGATATATCTTCACCATGTTAAAAATTTTTTTCTCAATTTCTTGGCTATGTTCTTTTCTTTCTTCCCCAGTTTTTATGGGTGCCTCTATTTTTTTTTTATTTGAATAATAATTTAAATATAACATTTTATAAGATAATATATATACATTTATATAGAATTTAATTTAATAGTAAAAAAGAAAATTGAAATGAAACTCCAAATGTATAAAGCTCATATGTTTATGTATAATTTTCTAATGATGTATTTTTACAGTAATTTTTTTTTATTTGAAATATTATAATATAAGTGTATTTTATTCCGAAAAAATATTAAATTTAAAACATTTCGAAACAACTCACGAATAAATTGATTTAAATATTTTTTATGCAGAAAAAAACAATGATAATAGCATTGATGTAGAAGACTATATATTTTCCGGTATTTCTAATGTATAATGAAGTTTATACTTAATAAAAAAAATAAAATAAAATAAAATACTTCGATGAAGGGAGTATTTAGTAAATAGAGTATAAGTAAGGGTACTAATAAGAAATGTATATTGAAACCAATACTTTGGTATTTTTTATATTAAATAAGGATATATTTTAGTAACATTGTGAATTTTACAATTACTTAACATGTCTATTGTTTATGGATGCCTTCAATAATTAAATAGATTCTTCGGTCATAAAAAAATTATGTTAATTTTTACTATTTAAACTCTGCGCCTCGCGAAAAAAATATATTTTTTCTCTCACAAAATATCTTATTATATATTATTTAATATCAAACTCAAACTATTTTTTTTTTCCTTAAATTCATCAAAAGAAACATACCCTACAGTAAAAGGGTAATATATATATTTTTTCTAAACAAATAAAAAGAAAATATTTTGTGATGACAAAAGTAGTATCTAATATATTAGCAAATGAATATAGTATATAATTATTATACTTATAACATTTTGGAATATCCCTTATGTAAATAAGTAGTATAGATGAAAAACAATTATATATTAAATATAGGAATCAATACAATATATATATATATACACACACACGCATGCATGTATAAAACACACAGACAAACATGTGGGTGTGTGTGTGTGGAGGCCTCTTGATCCAAATTTCTTCTCAAATGCAACCCCCTCCATATATATATATTTATATATGTGTGAGGGTGGTTCATGCATGATGATATATAAAGGGGACATGATGTATCCCATAATTCAATCAAATTAGAATAATTAGGGCAATTATTTCAAAGTTTTTGAGGACCCATTTAGGGTGTGTTTGGTTGGGGGTTTGGATTTTGGATTGGGATTTGAATAGTAAAAATTTTGAATTTGAATAGTTGTATAATGTGATATAAATAGGGTTTGATGTGATGTTTTGAATGTAAAATTGATTTTTAGTATAATATAAAAAATGAAAAATAGGTGTTTGATATGATGTTTTTGGGGGAAAAAAATTGGATGAATAGTAGAAATCCTCCAAAATCCTTCAAATAAAATGAAAATTATTATTTGAACGATCCATTGTTTAAGTATTCCATAAATAATGAAAATTTACATTATATTCATTGTACATTTTAAATTTATAATTTTTTTTTTCTTAATCTTAATTTATAGTTATTTTTATTAATACATTTTTAATTATTTATTAATGATACATACTAAATTCTGATATCTACGTTACCAGAGAATAGTATTGATTGATATATAAATATTAAGTTGGATTTTAATTTAATTAATGTATTGTTTTACATGCAATGCATGAATTAAGAAAATGGTTGCACTCAAAAAAGTGTCGACAAATAAATAATTGTCTTATTTTATATACATACATGCAAATATCCAATCAATATTAATATATATATATATATATTATATTTATTTATATCTATTATAAATCATATTTATTGTCGGCAAATAATAAGTTCCCTCTTGGATGTTGTATAGCCATATTTAATAGTTACAAATAACCTATTTTAATTTAAAGTTAAATATCCATATATATATATATATATATATATATAAGTGGACAATTAGGGCGTTAATTTTATTACAAGAAGATACTATTTTTATAGCGATTTTTTTTGTGTCTAAATTTAATTTTTCTTTTACTAATGACATCAAATATAGAATTAGAGATGAATTTCATCCCTAAAATTCACATAGCTAACGTCATATATCTCTAATTTTTATTACAAATATATTATTATTTTCATAGTATTTATGACTATCGACACACATGAGCAATTACTTTTTAACATTTAATTTAAATTAAATTAGTATATGATGTATGGATTGTTACCATATATATATATATATATATATGTATGCTGAAATTAATCGTGTACTTTGTATGAATTATTAGCATATATTGGCCCTACATATGTATTTCGATAATTATGTATTCTTTTAAATTTTTAAATTTGGATTTAGAGTTTAATAATAGTAAAATTTTGAATTAAAATAACATTTGACATGAGATACGACGTTTGGTTGTAAATGTTTTAAATAAAATTTTATAATGTAATATATTAAATAAAAAGACTCGATTTAATAATTTCCGAAGAAAAAAGTGATGAATAAAATTTTATCATGTAATTTATTGGTTTCACCCAAAAGTGTATTTTGTATATAGAAAAATATATATTGAATATGATATTATTTTAGTTAAATAATAATTGAATAATTAAAAAATAAAATTATAAAAGAACAAACTGCACCTTTTTTATTTTTTGGATATATTTGTGTTTTTTAATCCTACAAACAAAAAATGTATGTGATGTCACGCTTTAATTGAAATTAATGGATTTAATATATAATGTTTTAAATAAAATAAAATTCATGGAATGCTGTTTATTATAAATAAAACAAATTACTGTATATCAAATTCATCTTCTCAAAAAGATATTTATTTTCTCAGTTTTTTTTTTCAATACAAATTATTTGTCTTTAGTAAATATAAACATTATTATATATTACAAATATCTCAAATAAACATCGATTTACAATATCATTATAATAATTAACACATCAAAAGCAAAGTAGTCTTTTTTTTTTCTTTTTTTAGGTGAAAATCCGCAGTTGTTATTCGATTTTTTTTTTAATATATATAAAAGTACTTCAATTACTATTAAAAAAATTGTTTTGGTTTGAAAAATTTTTTGTTTTGTGTTTTGGTTTAAATTTCTTCTTCTTCTTCTTTTTTTTTTTTTTAATATGAAGTATAGAGAATTATATTAACAATATAAAAATAATGAGTGAATGTAGTATATTAATTTTTTTTTTTAAAAAAAATATGTTAGAAAATTTTTTGTTGAAAGAACAAAACATTAAATTAATTTATTAACCTCTGCATAGAAAATAAACACACAAATTTCAAAGGGGTAGATAAAATAAAATACTTTTTTCACTCACCTAAATGTTTTTTGTTTTTTGTTTTTTGTCCACAAAATTATATATATTTTTTATTTATAAAAAATAATTCCGACACACTATTTAATTTACATAATTCAACATTACACTTATTTATAAATATGTCACAACTACTTACACGCACAATTTATCAAAAAAATTCCCTCATTTTATTAACTAACTCATTTATTCTCTCCTACTCATAACTATGTATCAATTTTCTTTTTGTACAGAGTTTTAGAATTATTAATATTATATTGAGATATAATAGGAATAAAGTAGAAGTGACTAAAATGACCTTATTAGTATTGTGTGATATAAAAATAATGATATTTGTGTAATATATTGAAAGTTGTAAAGGAAGTTGTAATATTAGGTAGATAGGGATTTCAACGGGGTAGGTTCGGGACGGGTTCTGAAGGCCCCGAGACCCGCCCCGCTAGAAAATATTAGGCTCCGAGACCCGCCCCGCCCCGCCCCGCTTCCACCCGCCCCCAGGACCCGCCCCGCGAGGGTTCGGGACCAACCCGGCAAACCCGTTTTTTTTAAAAATATATAATAATAAATATTTTTTTAACAATCGAATACTAAAACAAATAGCATTAAAAGCACAAAAAAAAATCTAAAAACAATCAAATATTGATTCATAAAATAAGATAAATAAATAAATAATATATTTTTATTATATAAATATACATATATTAGGTATAATAATTTTAAAAAATTATTTGGAGCAGGCGACTAATTGAATTTTATATTTAAAATTATTTAAGTAAATAAATAATATATTTTTATTATATAAATGTACATATATATTAGTTATAATAATTTTAAAAAATATTCGGGTTCGGGTCCGGGTTGAGGCGGATTTTTAGTAAAACCTGT